GATTGGATAAAGTAACAGACGCCATTTCGAGGATAATAAATCTTGGTGGCATACGAAAAATAAGCGTTTCTCGCGTTCAGTGTCATCGAATAGCCGGCACGCGATCGGGCAGAGGGAAGAAAAAGAAGAAGAGGAAAAGGAAAAAGAAGAGGAAGAAGAAGAAGAAGAAGAAGAAGAAGAAGAAGAGGAGGAGGAGGAAGAAGAAGAAGAAGATCGAAAGGCTTTCGCGTAAAACGACGGATGTAAATCAAGTCGAATCGAGCGTGATGGGTGAGCTTTCTTCGAAAGCGTGGCCGAGGCGAGTTGGAAACATCGGCCGGGTTGATTTATGTGGCGTGAAACGTGTTGACACACGGCCCAGGCCACGTCGAATCAATGTTTTGAGACTAAACGATTCGCCAGGAGCGCGTAATCCCTTTCCCCTCCGTCTCCGTCCCCGTGATTCGCTTAAAATGATAATGAACGAACGGCCGAGCCGAGAAATATCACCTGTATGGACACTCGTGGCCGATAGACCGAGACCACTTTGCATTCGAACGTTCCACCTGCGGAAGCGCAACAAGCTCTTGAGATCTTCGAACGCTTGTATATTTTAATATTCGAAAATTAATCTTTAGATAGATGGTATTTAAGGAAGTGATAAAACATGGTATTTTGTTTGTGAAAAATATCGTGTTTAAGGGAATAGGAGGAAATAAATTTTGATTGATCTTTGAAGTAATGTTATTTCGGATATGTAAAAGCAGATACTCTACACCTCGATACGAGCTCGAGATTGATCACATATACGTGATATTCCTTTGCGAAATTACAGCAGTTCGAAAATCGGTAATTTTTTTAATTTTAACTATAGATTCTCGCAAGCAATTATACCATACACTTCCAATAAATTAATTAATTGTCCAATAATTGTCTATTGCACATTTATATCCCAATACGAAATCTATTCTTACGATTTACTGAAAAAAAAAAAAAAAGAGAGAGACCTCTATAAAAATTCCTTGGACATTCTTCGACTCGATGTATACTCGATATACACAACACCCTTCGTTCCATTCAACGTTGGAAAGGAAGCGAGAAATCGATTTGAAGGAGACGCAAAAGGTTTCGCAATGGCGCAGAAGTTTTTATCGGATATCGATTTTGCCGAGGATCCGCGGACGGAGCCAACATCCACTCCCCGTCTGGCGTGTGTCGCCTTCTGAAATACGAGACTCGATAAAACCGCATCCGCCCGATCGAGGCAAAAAGCGAGCAAGGGATCGTGGTCGACTGTGAATCGGTGTCAACGAGACAAATTGGCCGAAAAAACGAGCGAGAAAGCACCCGAAACTCAGCTCGATGACCCGGTATGCGAAACCAGAATTTGGTATCCAGCCCCCTCTCTATCTCCCTCTCTCCTCCCCTCCTTCCTTTTCCCTCCTCCTCCTCCTTCTCCCCCTCCTCCCCGGGATCAACAATCGCGCCGCGTTTTTCTTCGCGCGTCGAAGGTAGGGTGCACCTGCTACCGATTCAATTACGTACGTACATGTGTGCCCCATGTGTTTTACGATCATCACCGACTTTGCTTTCGATCGCTAACGAAACGTGACGAAACGTGGTATATAGTTGCAAAAATTTAGGGGAAAAAGCGAGAGCCGAGACAATAATTTTTTAACTGGATGGAAATTGAGAATTGGATGTCTTTGTTTTTGAAGACGAGAGATATTAGCTTTTTTTACAGAGGTTCTAGAGTGAGACGAAATGTTTAAGGAATGTAAAATAATAAGAATTTTTATATCTTGAAATTACACGAAATAATTCTTCTTATTGCGTAAAGAAAAAAGAAATAAAATGGAATCGTTTTATCGATTGATTGTAATCAATTTGGAGTATAAACGTTCTAATAATAATTCTTTCGCGTAATATCGAAAGGGAAAGAAAGGAATGGAATCGGTAGAGGAATTGACCTAAACGGAGGAGAGAATATCGGGTACTTCAACTACAAGGCGTGACTAGGTTTCCCGCATTCTCACGTCGAAGTTCCAGCGCCGGGCTGGAAATCCTGTTAAATCAATACCCTAATTGACCGAAGCGACTCGTGTGTAAACGCGCGTGAACGCGTACGTACGCAGTTTCGCGTAATATTCAAGCATCCGTGGAAACGTTGGCAAGTTGGCCGGCATCGAGCGTTACGCGATATCTTGCGTTTTACTACCGTGCTCTTTCGTTTATTTGCATAATAGTCGCTGATGACCCGTCATAAAGACACACACACCGCGGCGTATGCACCTCGCCCTCTTCCCTTTCCTCCCCTTCCGTCACTTCCATTCAACGCGACGTAACCTTTTTTTACGTAACCAAGTTACATTTCCAATCTTTACTCACCGCCTTTCGTCTTGCCTTCGTTCTCTCGCTCCGCGAAACTTCAAATTATACCTGTATCTCTATATATCCAGATTACATCCATATTATCTCTATATTATCCATATTATCTATATATATATTCCAAAGTATGAAACATTTTTCGCTATGTCAATTTTGTTTGACAATGAATGCACAATAGTATATGGATAATATTATCACAGCGAAAAATCCTCTGTAAAACTTGGATGATGTTTGGAGATATTTTTTGGGAATAGGAAAATTTGTTTTTTTTTTTTTCACCAATTTATTTTTCTGACGCGAATAATAATTTCCAGGTAAAATTTCTCGAGAGTTTTCGATAAGAGGCGACCCTCGCGTCAAAGTCAAAGGACAGAAAATCGATGGCCTCTTATTAACACAATAAGTCAAACTCGATGCACGGCATTCGTCACGATCAAGCACGTGCTAACAAAGGGGTCGATTTAATTGAATCTCCGCGGACCCCACCCACAGCGGGACGAGAGCACCACGGGCGATCCATTGATTTTCCACGCGTACACCACACTGACCTCCTCCACGGACGCCGATATTACGCCGCCATTGAATTCAGGTTACCGCGCGGCGTGTACAGGCTCATAAGACGGCGGACGCAAAAATTATGAATCCCGTGAAAGGTTTCTAGTACAAAGGCACGGCTGAACGGTCCAGTGCAATCGCACATTTCATTAAACCGTTACAGTGTGACGAGTTCTTTCGACCGGGATATAGAAAGGAGCGGTGTGCGCGATTGTTGCGCCATTCAATTTCGTTCCAGTGATATAACGTTATGAAAAATCAGGCGTTGATATTATACGTGGATCGAATCGTTGGAAATTCTCGTATTTTCCTCACTTTGATCCTCCATTCTGAAATGGAGTAAGCCCGGAGTAAAAATATGAGTGAGATGTGGATGCGGAATATATGTGTGTGTATGTATATGTATATGTGTAACAAAAGGGATAAGAATAACCGGAATAAATTAAATTTCAAGATAAGAACGATGAAATGCGAATCCGTTTTATGCACGTTTTTGTTTTATCTATATCTCGACTCGGGAAAAAGAGCGCGGTAAAAATTTCCGTAAGATTAAAAAATTACTCGAAATCTAAGTTCAAAGATAATCGCAACAACTTCAACTTTAATCTTTAATGAATTATTTTTCCAATTATTATTGATTCAAAAAATGAATGAAGAGCGCAAGAAAAAAATATATAAAACGAAGGGGGAAATCCAAAGAGAAAACAGATATCGGGGATAACGATCGATTTCGCTTCGTTTCCCGATCGAGAGCGAAAATGTGACCTCGGAATCGTACTTTGGCACCTAGCCAAGGCGCGCGAGGAACGCTTGGCATTAGCCACGCTTATTAGTAACAGAAAACCGAGGAGTGCGCGAGCAACTGTGTGCAACGGCGCATCGGAAATCGGCGGGGAAGGGAATAATATGCGGAGTCGTACAGGTGTTGTAACCCGTGGACGCGCACACACGGCCGAGTCCCCCGATGGGATCAGAGAAGAGTTTTGCAATTGTGCCACCGGTGGAAACGCTTGTGCAATTTGCATGATTCTCGAGGATTAACCTTGCGCGCGTACACAATACCCTGGATGTCCGTTCTTCTGCGCCACGAATTATTTTTCCTACTTTTTCCAGAGATATAGCGCGTTAACCGCT